AAGGCTAGCGCTCTACCACTTGAGTCACAGCGCCACTTCCGGCTTTTTTCTTTTTTGCTTATGTGGTGCTGAGGAATCAAACCCAGGGCCTCAAGCATGCAAGGCAAGCGCTCTACCACTGAGCCACCTTCCCAGCCCATCCATGAGATTCTTATCTCCAGTTAATCACCAAAAAGCCAGAAGTGGTGCTGTGGCTCAAATGGTAGAATGCTGGTTTTGAACAAAAAAGCTTGGGGACAGTGCCTAGGTCCTGAGTTCAAGCCCCAAGCCTGGCACACACACACACACACACACACACACACACACACACACACAATGTCAAACCTTCCTCAGTAAACAAAGAGATGTTGTTTTTGTAACAAGTGCGTTTGTGAAAGATAATATTACTTGAGCTCCCAGCCCTTTGAGTCACCCCACATGCAGGGTGAGCATGTTACAGAGCTAACCAATTTGACCCAAAAACTGTCTGTATATTTCAGTTGATCTCAGTTATAAGGTGAGTGCACACAGTTGTCAACAGTAAAGATATGTCCCGACCCGCAGGACGTCAACAAGGGCGGTGAACCTAAGCGAGAAGGAATGAAGGGACAAGAGACATGAAGTATGACAGCAAGACAGGGATTCTGATCAAGCTGCAAATTTTTATTTTTCACACAGGGGTATTTATATGCTTGGAATAAGGAAGCTTTTTCATTGGCCATTAAGGAAGCTTTTTCATTGGCCAAAGCAGCTGCAGGGTGTTTGCTGCTTAGGGCAAGGTGAAAAGGTGGTCGTTAGTAGCTGCAGGGTGTTTGCTTAGGACCGGGTGAAAAGGTCAGATTCTGTAAACTCAGCCTCAAGATGTTCCAGTGAGATAGTCAAGCCCATCATGTTGAGAGACTCCCTTTTGGCTCCCCACAAAGATATGTATTTATACTGTTTGCTTTTTGACCTGGGTCCTTATGAATATGGATCATTTGCTCTCAGTGTTACACCCATGTGACATTAGTAGATCTGAGGGCTTGTACTTGGGAAATATTGCCCATCTTATTGTGCAAAGTGTGTTCTCATGTAGTGTGTTTTGTCATATATTGTGTTTCTTTTTTTAACATTTTATATGCTTTATTAAAAGTTTATAAGTACAACAGTTAAATACCGTGACACCTTACAACTGTGTAGAGAACATGCACAGAAACATATGCATATAATTATTAATCAGGCCATATGCAGAAACTCCTAGTGGGAAATCCACTCAGCTAGGACTGATCATTATTCCAAGTATTCGACCAGCTCAAAGGAAAGACTGAAGTAAAGAGGGATTCACTTCAGGATATTCAGCAGCTCACATTTCAAACTACACAAAGTGACTAAACTATGCAAAATTCTTAAAATTTCTTCAGGTGTGATTTTTTTTGTCATGTGGCAGTTTTTATGTTGATCTCTCTAGAAAAGACAATCCACACCTCTTCTGACAGCCAATGAAACATCTAAATTTCCATGTGTACAACCTAAATAGTAGTTACAGTCCTCTATTGTACAAAACAATTACACTGCATACACAAATATACAATAAGCAACACAACCTCATAGTAAGATAGCCTAGGTCCAAGCTACCTGTCACCATTTGTCACTAATAGTTTTGTGTCATCCAATGTTTCAGAAAAGAGGTACAGTACTAGTGTGTGTGTGTGTGTGTGTGTGTGTGTGTGTTTTATGGACTTTGTTGACAGTAGTCAACTTGTACAATGACTGCATCCACCCTCATTTTAGTTTGTCTCTGGCCTCTCTTTTAGTTCCTCATGGGGGAGGAGAGGAGAATGCAGAGCCCAAAGTCCAGGAGGAGCTCCACACTTCCTAGCCCTGTGGAGCACAGTGTGCAGGCAGGAGAGAGGACTGTTGGAAGGGAGTGGGCAGCAGGAGGGGATGGAAAGGCACACAGCTCCTGAGCATCAATTAAACCATTCCTCAGATATCTGCCAAGCTGCACTGGAAACATCATTCTAATTCTCAGATTAACCTTTAATTCACCCAACTAGTAAATTTCTTCAAGTCAAAAGCGTATGAGTGTTTAATATTGGAAAGAAGAGATAATGGCATGTATCAGTCTCACGTCTCTTTTGCAGTGAGCAATGAAATGGAATGTGGAGGCGGATTCTCCCTAGCACATCTTCTTCTGTTCAGTTCAGACAGCAGCAGCCAGTTCTTCATTCTGCCGGGCAGTTGGTCCTAAGCCCTTGGATGCTGGCTTGGCTGGGGGGGAGGGAGGCGTTGTGTGGTCCCTTGTGGCTGCGTGGGAGCAGGAGGGGAGCCAGTCTCCAGCTGGGCCTGAAACACAGCAAGCTGCTCAGGACTGGCCAGAGTCTTCAGCAGACTGTTTTCCTACTTCAGCTGGGAATTTTTTCTCTATTAGTTCTTTGATTTGCTCTTTCATCAAATCTTACATCCAATGGCTTTTCACCAAATCCGTAACTTGCTCGATTTTGTTGTCGATAGCTACCACACTTGCACCAGAGAAGCTATTGTCAAGTCTCACAGAGGTGTTTTCAGTTCCCAGCAACGATGACAAGAGATTGAAACTGTCTCAGTTGGTACACTCCTAGATGCATCGCTACTTGTCTACACCATTGGGATCTCATAGAATTGTAGTCAAAAACACCCGCATGGAAAAAAGAAAAGGGAACACGGGCAGCTTGTTTGAGCTGGCTAAAACCTGGTAGCTTTCTGCAGCCCAGGGAGAGCAAAGACAGCAGGGCTAGTTTAAGGAAACCCGGCTCCTAGGGTTTGGCGATCAGGAGATGGGATCCCAGAGCTGCTAAAACCTTCACTCCGCTGCTGCGGCTGCACTAGCTCCCATATTTTATGTTTCTCAAATAAATCCCTTTTAAAAATACAGACAGGTGGGGCTGGGAAGGTGGCTCAGTGGTAGAGCGCTTGCCTTGCATGCATGAGGCCCTGGGTTTGAGTCCACACCACCACATATGCAGAAAAAGCTAGAAGTGGCACTGTGGCTCAAGTGGTAGAGTGCTAGCCTTGAGTTGAAGAGCTGAGGGACAGCGCCCAGGCCCAGAGTGCAGGCTGCATGACTGGAAAAATGTGTGTGTGTGTGTGTATGTGTGTGTGTGTGTATGTGTGTGTGTGTGTGTGTGGAGAGAGAGGGAGAGAGAGAGACAGAGACAGAGAGAGACAGAGACAGAGAGAGACAGAGAGAGTATGAGGCAGGCCCTGGTGGCTTATACCTGTAATCCTAGTGACTCAAGAGGCTGAAATCTGAGGATCACAGTTCAAACCCAGCCTGGGCAGGAAAGTCCATGAGACTCTTATCTCCAATTAACTACCTGAAAACCAGAAGTGGAGCTGTGGTTCCAAGTGGTAGAGTACTAGCCTTGAACAAAAGAGCTCCACATTCCAGGACGGATTTTATTATGTCTGTCTAGCAAGGACAAAGTCCTGAATTCAAACCTCAGCACTACCAAAAAATTGGTGAAAGTTTTAGGTAAGATAATCCTTACCTGTTCCTCCTTTTGGAGAAAAGATAGAACATGATAACTGGATGTCCCATAATAAATAGCACGTGTCTCTGCATAATCAGGACTTGCAATTCCCTGGATGCTCCTGTATGATTTTTTTAAAAAACTTTTAGCTAGGCACTGGTGGCTCACTAACCCTAACTACTCAGGAGGCTGAGTTCTAGAGGATCATGGTTTGATGCCAGCTCAGACAGAGGTCCACTAGACCCCCATCTCCAAAATAGCCAGTAAAAAGCAGAGCTGAAAGCATGACTCAAACAGTAGATGACAGCCTAACAAGTACAAGGCCCTGAATTTGAACCCCAGTATGGCGCCCCCAAAAAAATCCTTAAATTTTTGTTAATTACTTATTTCCAGATTTATTTTCACTCATAGTTTGAGAGGTTGCAGTCTATAGTGTGCAGACAGGGGTGTGTGGCAGAGACTGTTCATTGTATCACAACCAGGAGGTAGAGAGAAGACCGGAAAAGACGGGAAAAGGCATACCAGCAGTGAGTGACCCGTTCCCTCCAATGAAGTCAGAGCTCAGCACTCCTGTCCAATCACTTTTGGAAAGCTCACCTCTGAACCTTGCTGCTTTAACACAAGAACTTTGGGGGGATGGCTCCTATCCAAACTGTAACAGCCCTGCTCTAAGCAAACTACCAAAAAAGTTTTTAAAAAATGACCTGGATCCTTGGAAATTCTTTGGACTGTTTAGAAATACATTGTTCGATTTTAAAACAACCATAGACTTCGTGGATTTTATAGTTAGTTATTGGCTAGTAGATTGTGTGTGTGTACATGTGTATATACCAGTACAGAGACTTGAACTCACAGTACAGAGACTTGAACTCATGGACTCACACCCCCATTTGGCTTTTTTTGCTCAAAGCTTGTGTTGAACCACTTCAATCACACTTCCATTTCAGGCTTTTTTTTTTGCTGGATAATTGAAGAGTAGAGTCTCATGGACTTTTCTGCCCACGCTGGCTTCAAACCATGATTCTCAGATCTTAGCCTCCTGAGTAGTTATGATTATAGGCATGAGCCACCAGCAGCTCAGCTACAATTTTTATTCAAATTCTATTGTGGCTAGAGAACATAGTCTTAAAGTGATTCTTATCTTTTGAAATCATTTGATGCCTCTTTATGGACAAGACCTGGTGTATTCCATCAACTGTCTCATGAACATTTGAAATAAATCTAGAATATGTGACCCTATCTTCAAGGACTTTTTTTTTTTTTACAGTCCTAGAGCTTGAACTCTGGGCCTGGGCACTGTCCCTCAGCTCTTCAACTCAGGGCTAGCGCTCTACCACTTGAGCCACAGTTTTCTGGTGGTTAATTGAAGATAAGAGTCTCATGGATTTTCCACCCAGGCTAGCTTTGAACCATGATCCTCACATCTCAGCCTCCTGAGTAGCTAGGATTACAGCGAGAGCCACCGGTGCCCAGCTGAGAAGGTGGCTCAGTGGTAATGAGGCCCTGGGTTCGATTCCTCAGCACCACATAAGCAGAAAAAGCCAGAAGTGGTGCTGTGGCTCAAGTGGTAGAGCACTAGCCTTGAGCTGAAGAACTGAGGGACAGTGACCAGGCCCAGAATTTAGGCCCCATGACCGACTAAATAAATAAATAAATAACTATTCCTACCATTGTTTGCTGTTAGAAAACAATCTGTAAGTCTTATGCTTCTCTGAACATAGATTCAACAAAAGTAGATGCAACTAACATTGAAAGCCACAGGAATGCATGTCTTAAGTGATCACAATATTTCATTCTATTTTTATTTCAGAAAGGAAAAGCATTTCCCACTCAACATCTTCTTCTTTTCCAGGGAGATCTGTGAACATAGCATAGAAGTTGTATTGACTCCAGAAATGATACGAGCAGAGTTCCCTATGTTGAGTCCTAAGGATGCCAAGAAGGAGAAGTAAGTGGTTCCTTTTGGCCAAGAGGTAGCCTTGGGCAAAATTGGTCTTGCAGGAAGTACAAAACTGCCATGATATCTGAATCTAAACATCTCAGGCTTTGAAGGAGAAATGTTTTCCATGCTTCAAATTTTTAACTATATTTTATGGACAATAATCATCTTCAAATACTTGGGGGCATGGAGACCTTTAAAAAGTGAATCTAGGGCTGGGAAGGTGGCTCAGTGGTAGAGCGCTTGCCTTGCATGCATGAGGCCCTGGGTTCGATTCCTCAGCACCACATAAGCAAAAAGAAAAAAGCTGGAAGTGGCTCTGTGGCTCAAGTGGTAGAGCACTAGCCTTGAACTGAAGAGCTGAGGGACAGTGCCCAGACCCAGAGTTCAGGCCCCACGACAGGACCCAAAAAAAAAAAAAAAAGTGAATCTAGTTTTTTCATTTGCTTATCATACAGTGTCAGAGATGAATTTATTTCTTAATAATAGTTGATTGAGTTTAATTGTTTAATTTAATATAAGAAACCCAGGCTCTGGAGCCAGACAAGAACTGGGGCTGAATCCCAACTCTACCGTTTATCACATAGAGATTTTGAGCCAAGTTATCGCTTCCCTGAACCTCAGTTACCTTGTCTGTAACATGCTGGGGGTGGGGATGGGGTGGGGATGGGGTGGGGGTGAAGGTGGGGGTGGGGGTGGTAACTATCTTTCACGGAGCCCTTCTAAGAATTGAACAAGATGCCAAACATGAAAAAAATGTTCTTTCCTTCATCTCTACACAAGGGGGCTGGTGAATAAAGCAAGCATCATGCTGTTAAAAATTATAGCCCAGTGCCAGTGGCTCCCACTTGTAAGCCAAGCTACTCAGGAAGCTGAGATCCAAAGAATTAAGGTTCAAAGCCAGCCTAGAGTAGAAAAATCCATGAGATTATATCTCCAAAATCCATGCTTAAAGCTGTGGCTCAAGTGGTAGAGCCAGCCTTGAGAAAAAAAAAGAGCTAAGGGACAGAAGACCCTGAGTTCAACCCCTAGTACTAGCACACACATACAGAAAAGTCAGAAATACTCTGCACTGCCTTATTCATAAAGATGAAAGACCAGCTAATGCTATGACTAATTTCTCGTTTCACCTTACACAGAAATTAGCACGGTAGGGGGTAAAGATCCTAGAGACCTGACATTTTAAGTAGCTTGCACATGCTGGGAAACAGGTACAGCTGAGACTAGAGGCCAAATCTGAAGCCCAGACAAGCTGAGGGCTCCTACAGATTAGTCAATTATTACTAACAATAGCTAAAATCTTATCTATATTAAAACGAACACTCCACCCACATGCTGTGGCTCCTGCCTGTCATCCTAGCTACTCAGGAGGCTGAGATCTGAGGATCAAAGTTTGAAAGTCTGTGAGACTCATTTCCAATTAGCCACCAAAACCCAGAAATGGGAAAGTGGCTAAAATGGTAAAGTGCTAACCTTGAGTGAAAGAGCTATAGGACAGCACCCAAGCTCTGAGTTCACAGCCCAGAATTAGCAATTGGCATGTGAGCATGTGCACATGTACACACACACACACACACACACACACACACACACACACACACACACACACACCCCAAATCATTTTCCTGATCCTGGACCTGAACTCAGGGCCTGAGTTTTTTTCTAGTAAGACTAGTGCTGTTACTTGAGCCACAGCGCCATTTCCTGCCTTTTCTGAGTAGTTTATTGGAGATGAGTCTCACCAGCTTTCCTGCCCTGGCTGGCTTCGAACTGTGATCCTCACATCTCAGCCTCCTGAGTAGCTAAGAGAACAGGTATAAGCCACCAGTGCCTGGCAAAGCCTCCAGTCTTTAATGGAAGTGTTAGATGTTGTTGGGTGCATTGCCTGTTTCATTAATTACCGTTGTTTTCTGATGTTCAGAGAAGTGAAAGACCAGGCACAGTCAGCGGAGAAGTCAGGAGAGAAGGTACTGGAGGAGATGAAGAATCTGCAGGGCAAAGCTCTCAACACATATCTGATTCTGCAGTAAAAACCACCAGAGGCCAGCTCCTCTCATTTTGCTGGGGCCCTTCATGCCAATTTACATTCTGACCTCTTGGAATTAAAGTTCCTAGAGACAAAAATTGAATGTGGATGGATGTATATAGTTAACACTTTGTTTCTTTCTGAAAATAAAATGTCATTAGTTTGATGGCTAGGTGAGATGCTTTTTAGCCCAAGACTTAAATGCAATGACAGTGCCTTTCAGAGCAAGGTATGTGCCACTGTTAGGAGGGTCCTAGAGCCTGGTACTGATGGTTGTTTAGGGCAGTCTTTTGTGGTTTGGGACCCAGGGCCCAATGTAGGGTAGGTCTGGGGAGGGTGCTGCTCCTCCATCTCTGCACTGGTGTGGACAGTGGCTCCCATGTGCTATGCCATTCACATACACTGGCAAAGGGGGACTGAGCTGGAATGGACATTGAAGGTGATTAGAATAAGCAGGCTGATTTGAGAACCACCGGAAAACACCCCCATGGTAACTCCCAGAAGCACAGAGACAGGAAGTCATTGCAAAGGGACCAGGAACAGGAGTTGGTAAAAAAAAAAAAAAAAACAAGCTCCTTTGATTATGCTTATTTATTCAATCTTAGTGTCTCTATAAAGGGAATAATAGCTAAACTACTTCCTGTACAAAAATCACATTTACTGCCAGGCACAGTGGCTCACTTTTATAATCCTACCTATTCAAGAAGATGAGATGTGAGGATTGCAGCTCAAAGCCAGCATACACACAAACATACAAAAGCTCAGATACATTTACTAACTAGATTACAGTATTTATTCTTTTGGGCTAGCTAGCTTCATAGGATCCAGTCAGAATACAGTTGTCCAGTCATTTAACATAGTTTATTTTTCTTTCTCCACTCCCATCAGTGTGCTTGAGTTATGTTTGAGAGATGTATATTTTGTTTGAATTCTGTCTTGAGTTCCTCCACATCCTAGTTGTTTTGTTTGTTTGTTTGTTCTATTTGTGTGCGCTGATCCTATGGCTTTAACTCAGGGTCTGTGGGCTGTCCCTTAGCTGTTTTTGCTGAAGGCTAATGCTCTACCACTTGAGCCACAGCTCCACTTCCAGCATTTGCAGGCCAGGCAATCCTCAGATCTCAGCCTCCTAAATAGCTAGGATCATAGGCTTGAGCTACCTATGCCTGGCCCTAGTTGTTTTTGTTTGTTTTTGTCAGTCGTGGGGCCTAAACTCTGGGCCTGGATACTGTCCCTCAGCTCTTCAGCTCGCTCAAGGCTAGCACTCTACCACTTGAGCCACAGCGCCACTTCCAGCTTTTTCTGCTTATGTGGTGCTGAGGAATCGAACCCAGGGCCTCATGCATGCAAGGCAAGCGCTCTACCACTGAGCCACCTTCTCAACCCCCCTAGTTAGCTTTAATTATTCATTTATTTGAGGAGACCATTACACAGAGGCACACTCAGAATGAGAATGCTGCCCCTCCCAATTATCCCCATCTTAACACTGTGTTTATACCCTCCTCCTGTGAGTGAACAGCCTCTCTGGTTTGGCTTATCCTTCTCCAGGTGATGTGTGTGTGTGTGGTGTGTGTGTGTGTGTGCACAGGCATGCACATGCCAATAATGGAGCTTCAACTCAGGGCCTCCTCTGCTATCCCTTGGCTTCTTACTCAAGGCTGGTACTTTACCACTTGAGCCACAGCTCCACTTCCAACTTTGGTTTGGGTGGTTTCACAGACTTTCCTTCTCAAGCTTGCTTTGAACCTTGATCCTCAGATTTTTAAGTTTCCCAAGGACTGAGAATCACACTCTCCCCTTCACATCTCTTTGCCACATGCCCAGTCTCTAGCTTTCTAAGGCCTAGTTTACCAGTAATTCCCTAAGCATAGACCACTATTCACACTGAACCTTTTCATATGTCATTCCCTGAGACTCAACCACCTCTACCTTGATGCCTTCCAAGCTTTTACCTAGTCTCTGCCACAACATTGCCCCAGCAATACTTGCATATCCAAACCTAACACTACTTCATTCATGCCTCACTCAGCAGCACGCAACCATCTGTTTCTGAACCCCTAGCTAATTCTACCATCCCCACCTCCCTTTTTCCTACTGCCCAATATGGCAGTGACCTTTCTCGTTCAGTCCTTTTTATGTGACTATGAGCTTGTTCGCATGTCCATGTATGTATTTTTATGCCATTTCAGTTTTCCCATCTTTAGACAAAGCCATTTTTTGTTGTTATTTCTCTCTGGGCCTTCCAAGAGCCATGCTATATAGCAGTGTGGCCCCTTAGAAAGATTGTATTTACTGTATTGGGGATCTGGTGCCCCCTGGTGGACACCATAGAAAAGTCCTCTCATGACTCCCATATGAACCAAATGGACTTTCAAATAAGATTGTTGGTCAATGCTTTTCTTCCCTTTTCTAGACCACATTAACATGTAAAAACACAAGGAACCCTCACCTGTACTTCCTTCTGCCAATCAATCCCATGGGGAAAATTTCTTCAGTGGCCACATAAAGTTTAGAGGCTCTCTGTGAGAGAGAGACCTTATGCAGGTCCCAGAGTAGGCTGACAGAGTGGGGATCTTGGGAGCTGCTAGCCATCTTTCTCTTGCAGTCACTAGATTATCACAAAGGTTCCTTTCTAAGGGCCAAGAGATTGAAAACTAATGACCTTTTTCCCAAGGACTTTTCATTTGTATGTTTTCAGTGATCTTCACAACATTCTGAGATACGCAATCACTACAGGCTTTGAGCTTAGGACCTCAGGGTTTCAAGTTTCAGACATTTTAGGATTTTGAGGTATTTGCACATACATAATGATACATTGTATGGACAGAGCCCAGGTGGCAACATGAAATTCATTTATATTTCATATACATATAGCCTGGCAGTAATTTTGTGCAATACTTTTAGTGTAGTTGAGATGACTCTGAACATATCACATGAGACCAGGTATTGTTGAATTAAAGAGTATAAAAGAGGGGCTGGGAAGGTGGCTTAGTGGTAGAGTGCTTGCCTTGTAGGCCTGCGGCCCTGGGTTCGATTCCTCAGCACCACATAAGCAAAAAAAAAAAAAAAGCCGGAAGTGGCTCTGTGGCTCGAGTGGTAGAGCGCTAGCCTTGAGCTGAAGAGCTGAGGGACAGCGCCCAGGCCCAGAGTTCAGGCCCCACAACCGAACCCCCCCAAAAAAAATTTTAAAAAAGAGTATAAAAGACCTGGGCACCAGTGACTCACTCTTCTAGCTATCCAGAAAGCTGAAATCAAAGTTCAGAGCCAGCCTAGGCAGACAAATCAAAGAGACTCTTTGCAATTAATCTGCAAAAAGCCAGAAATGGAGGTGTGGCTCAAGTAGTAGAGTGCCATTCATGAACAAAAAAGCTAAGCAAGAGTAACAGACCCCAATTCCAACACACACACACACACACACACACACACACACAGAGTGTATAAAAGAAATATGAGCCAGAAGCAGTGACTCATGCCTGCAATCCTAGCCATGTAGGAGGTAGAGATTAAGAGGATCACAGTTCAAAGCTAACCTAAACAAAAATGTTCTTGATGCCAAGTACTAGCAGCTCATGTCTGTAGTCCTATCTACTCGGGAGGCTGAGATCTGAGGAGAGGACTACAGTTCAAAATCAGCCCAGGCAGAAAGTCCCTATGAAACCCTTATCCCCAATTAACCACTCAAAAACCAGATGTGGTATTGTGGCTCAAGTGGTAGAATGCTAGCCTTGAGCACAAAGAAGCTCAGGGACAGCACTCAGGCCCTGAGTTCATGCCCTACAACCGACCAAAAAAAAAAAGTTCTTGAGCTGTCATCCCAGCTTCAAAAGAAGTATAAATAGGATGATCATGAGATCATGATATAGGCCGTAATTCCATATGGGCATAATGTAAGACCCAATTTGAAAAATAACCAAAGCAAAAATAACTAAATATGGGTGTGGCTGAAGTGGTATAGCACTTGTTTAGTGAACATAAGGTCCTGAGTTCAAATCCCAATACTACCAAAAAAAAGAAGAAAGAAATTACATTTCATGCTTATGGATGCTTACAGAATACATGTTATAGGGAAAATAGAAATTGAACCTAATAGATGAATTTAGGAATCCAGAATATCAAAGAACATGAGTGTCATCTAGCCCAGCCTTAGTGGATATGATCGTGCTCTCTATAAATGTAGTATCTCTTAAGTAGGTAGAAATGACAGCAGTGGTTTCAAGGGATGGTTGTGAGGTTGTCATAATCACAGTAGCATGGTATGCAATAGTTACTAGAAAATAGCTAGCAACTGTTATTCTTTTTTTTTTTTTTTGGTCCGGTCGTGGGGCCTGAACTCTGGGCCTGGGCGCTGTCCCTCAGCTCTTCAGCTCAAGGCTAACGCTCTACCTCTTGAGCCACAGCGCCACTTCCGGCTTTTTTCTTTTTGCTTATGTGGTGCTGAGGAATTGAACCCAGGGCCTCAGGCATGCAAGGCAAGTGCTCTACCACTGAGCCACCTTCCCAGCCCCGCAACTGTTATTCTTGTGATCATAGCATTTGTTGAGAGTGAAGCTCCATCCTTCTGCATTTACCCTCTCCACCTCCACCCACCCATCTCCCATCTTCCAAGAACTAAATTGGGGTCTGAGCACTTGAGATAACTTTCTAGGTGGTGAAGGGGATGAAACACAGCACTGAAGCTTCAGGGAGGATAGATGGGTTCAAGTCAGTGTTCAGAGTGGGGGGGAGGGGCAACAGATTATGGACCCCTTAGAGGCAGGAGAATAGTGAAGGCGAGTCTTTGTTGGGTCTTTTTGTCCAGACCTTATAGCCTCCTCCTCCTGGGTCAAACTGCAGTCCACTCTCCTTCTCTCAATGGCTTACATCATAGAGAGGGGTCTCATTCAGAGGAAAGGAGATGCAGTTCTCCTAGAGGACACCCTGCAGGAGCCCCTTATTCAGGAGCTCTGAGGAAAGGTGCAGCCACTGACGACTCAGGTATCCAGCCCCCAGCACCCCACTCCTCCTCCT